CTCCTTAGTAATTGCTGAAACCATGGCAAAACTATATTAAATCTTATCAAAAATCCTGTTGAAACTATGCCAAAATGACGAAACCTCAAAATGCAAAACTCTGCCAAAACTCTAATAAACAATTAATGTGTAACCTGCCGAAACCCTGCTGATTGATTTCTGGAGGAGTTTCAGCAAGCAACCTTAACTCATGCCATTTAAATTTTGGATCAGTACATAATAATAATTGTTAAAAAAATCGCATGATACCAAAAAAAGAAATTCGGAAATCCTTTGGTTATTTCGGAAAATTTGTAGATTTTGTACTCCGTGAACAAAGCATAGTATAATTTTAGAGAACTTGCACAATAATGACCATTTTTTATTTATTTACATATTAAGATACCATTTGAGAACATTTTTTAAATAATACATGACACACCCAGAGTTATACTGCAAAACTTTTATTAGCTGTGAAATACCAGAATTGGAATTTTGGACCAGATTTGGTCCAAAATTCGTTTAAGGGATAGTTTCGGCACATAGATTTAGTTTCGGCAAAAACAATTATGCCTAAAATTATGGCATTTTGCTTGCTTGAAAAGCGAAACTAAATTTTTTAATTTGCTGAAACTATTGCCAAAATCTGGTAGTTTAGGCAAACTTCTATAACAAAAGATAATGATTTGGTTTTTTGGATCCTTTTTTCAAACCTTATATCTTATTGTGTCTCGATGTTAAACACGTTAAACATGATGTGTAAACTGGTCAGTAAAATGATAGTTCTAAACAAATTTATTTGCTCTGTTAAAAAAACTATTTTACTATTCGATAGCATGTCAAACCGATGGGCTTTTGCTAGTATAAAGTATTCATAACATTACGATCATACCATACTGAATTTTGGGGTTCAAACAAAATCAGTGCATATGTCATGCTTGATATCAAATATTACATATGTAGCACTGGTAGAAATGGTAAGATGTGGAGTAAATTGGTTCCTTTAACTAATGTTTTCTAAATATTGGCGGAATAAACCAATTTCCCTTCATTTATCTTTATCAAATTTTTGAAGTATCTTCTTAAGTGGAAAGTGTTGACTTTAAATCCCTCTTAAAGGCATTATTATATTGAATGTTTTCTCCAAATATGTTTGCTCCTAATTTAATGAATATATTTGCAACGATGTGTCCAGATTAGAGATGTTAATTTAATTCCAAAAAATACCAATTTTTTGTTTTGTTTCAAAAAAGAATATGATCAATAAATAGACTCGAATTAAATCCGTTTCGTAACAAAGTGATTTGTTGTCCTGAATTGTGGTCAAGGAATGGATAAATCATTTCCTTGGAGACCTTGTTTAATTTTTATAGAATTTGTTTATTATAATTAACAATGTATTGCATGAACATGTTTGCTGGAACGCGGAAATACGTTAACTGTTGCCAGTCGCATTGGTTAAATTGATTCACAAAAGAGTGTTGCATAAATTGGAAATTAAAAAAAATGTATAGGATTCTTGGAGTTCAGTCCGAATTAATAAAAGAATGTAGTGGGAATAAAGCTCATCACGAGCTGGCTTGCGAGCCAAAAAACTTATTCAGCTTGCGAGCCTACTAAGTTATTTGGCTTGCAAGCTGGCTCATGCGGTACCTTAAGTGGAATAGCAGAGAAGAAATAGTAGTGTTGTCACCATATTATATTCATTGTATAAACTATTTAATAATCTTAAATTTGTTTGTTATAAGCATTATCTGTTGATATGGACA